TACTAGCTTACATTGTATTCAGGTTTTTAGTTAGTTTAAAGAGGCCAGGTAGGGCCAGCAAGCTGGCATGGTTATTAAGGGGGCTGAATTCTACATGGCCTACTCTGTGGTTTGAAGTCTAGACCGAGTGGATTGAAAACATGCCAGGCTCACTTGAATGCATGCTCAGAATTCTGAGAGGAAAATGGATGGAAAGGGATTGTAGTATGACCATTCTCCTGTGGCATGAGGGTGATTTCTCACTTTCCCTGTCTCTGTCTCTCTCCTTTGTCCTCCTGAGCCCTGGGACAAATCAAACAATAACAATAAAAACAAAATCCAAATAGTGGAAAAAATGAAAATTGATTTAAAGAGGAAAAATTAAGTCTTGTTAACCATAAACCATAGACTGTACAATGAGGAAGTACAAATAAATCTACAGAAAACATTAAAATTATAAACTGAGTTCAGCAAAGCCATGGAATCACCTAAAAATATAAACTATCTCTTCATTTTAGCAACATTTAGTGTCGCGTCAGGAACGACCAGGAGACAGTCTTCTCATCAGGACTTTATTGTACAGCTGCTTCTTCTTCTTCTTTCCATCCCGGTCCCCTTAAATAGGAGTCCCCACCAATCAGGGCACTGTTCACGTATGCGGAACTAGTCCTGATAGGTCGCATGCACTGTCCACGCACGGAGGGGCGCGGAGGGATTGGTGGGTGGTTGTGATCACGCCTTCCGGGTAATGTACTTCCTCAAAGTTGTTTGCCTCATGTGCTCTCAAGGCACTTCCTCTCAGAGCCATTTTGGGCCACTCGATGGGCGGGGGCGCGCCACAATTTAGGAAATGAAAATAAAATAAATTAAAATCATGATCTTTACAGTGACATCACAAATATTAACTAAGAAGAATTCAATCTACTAAAATAGGTGTAAAACTGCTGCCTTGAAAGCCAAAAAATAGATTATTACAAGAACCTAAAGATGTGCTTTAGTATTGGTGCAAAAATAATATTGGCCATAGATATAGAATAGAAATTTAAGTAAAGATTCAGACTTATTTGGTAACCTGAGTTCCAGCAAATTCACTGATGCAATAGAAAAGGAAAGTTTATTCATTAATAAATGCCATATCAGCGGAATATTCCTATGGGAAGAAATGAAATTTAATCCCCATTAACTGTTAATATGTGGTGGATTCTAACCAAAGTGATTGTACTGATTTACTTTCCCACCGGCAACTTACAAACCACATTGAGAAAAAGTTGGCAAACAATTGTTTTCTTGCCTATTTAAAAAAAACAGGCTTGTGTATATCTTTACAGGTGGAGTGAATTTCTTGTAGACATTATATAGGTATTTTTGTTTGTTGATTGTTTTTCTGTTATTTTTACAGGGTACATGTGCATTTCAGATAAAGACAGAGACAGTGATAAAAAAAGTGCAAAATCATTGCCCAGGTGAAATGGCCATACTGTAATCCCATCTCCTTCATTCTCGTCCTGGGATTTCGGGTGTGCATGCACACATACATGGAGTGATTTTTAAAACCCCAGGTCCAGGACTTGAACCATGGTCCACCAAGTGGAAGTCCAGTGCCCTAACTATCAAGCCACCTTCTGGCCTGAATTATTATTATTATTTTTAATAATCCATTTAGCCAATCTATATATAGCTTAAGTGGAGAATTTAATCTGTTTACATTGAAGGTTATTATACATAAATTAGAATTTAAACCTGTAATCTTGTTAGGTGTTTTCTAGTTGTTTTGTATATTCTTTGTTTCTTCCTTCCTCTTTCATTTTATATCTTTGTGGAAGATGCTATTTTTAGCAAGGAAGAGTAGATTGCTTCTTCAGGTAAGAGACTCAGGAAAATCTGTCAGTTTAGGATTTCAAACATATACATTCAAATTCCTCCATTCCACTGTGGAAACTCTGGGGACCAGGGTCCACCAGATACCTCAGGTTTATTCCATTTGAGGTGCAAGAGAGAAGGAATATTTACATGATAATTCCTCTCAGTGCTTGGATGAGTGGTGTTCTTGAGGAGTTTGATGTTATTCTTCTCTAGTTCATCTTGCAGATGGCCAAAATAACCATCTGTGGCCAAAAGTAAGGTCTTTGGTCCAATGTAACTTCCAAAACATGAAAGTCAGGATATCAGAATGGCCACAGAAAGACTGTGAGAACATACAAACAGAAAACACTGGCATCTTCTGTGGACTTCATGAAGTTACAACTATTCTAAGAGTGAATGATTGTGCATTTATGAGAGGAGGCATATAATGTGAGCTACAGTGACACTCGCTAGAGATTTCACTTTTTTTGGAGATTTTTGTCTTAGGTTGCACTTAGTCACTTCAGAGAGAGAGACAGAGACAGAAACAGTTGTGGGAAAGTGAGAAATCACCCTCCAGGAGGACTGACCACAACACAATTCCTTTTCCGCCATCCTCCTGGGACTTTGGGCACTCATGTGCCAAGCCACCAAGTCAAGGACTTGAATGTGGTCTGCCATGTGGGAATCCAGTATATTAACTACCACTTCAATTGATGGCCCCAATATACCATAAACTTAATTTAAGTACAAGCTACCTCTTGAATCTGTTTCTTCTTCTTTTTTTAACATTTATTTATTTATTTATTTATTTATTTTTTGGGTCATAGGAAATGTGTGCTCACCAAAGAGTGAAAGAGAAACAGAGAGCGTGAAAGTGGCGAATCACTCTCCAGAGCAATGGTCGTCTCTTTATTATCCTTTCGGGATTTTGGGCACAAACACACATGTGCCTAGTATGATTTCCAAGCTGCTGGGTATGTGACTCTAACCATGGACACCTATGTGGGAATTCAGTGCCTCAACTACCTCACCACCTACTGGTCCTAGTTCCTTCATTTCTGGAAATAAAGATGAGCGAATATCTATGTACACCGTCATTGGAGGTATAAAATAAGACAATTCATTGAAAATACCTGGTCAAAAAAAGGCACCCAGAATAAATACAGAAAATACACTAGCTATTAACATTAGGATATTCTCAGCTCTTTTCGACATTTTGAGAAGTAAGAGACAGGATAATGGGGTCCCTGGTATTGATAAATCTATCAGGGATAGAGCCATGCTTGTAGGCCTTCTCGTGGTCGGAACTGGGTATCTGGGACACAGGACCACAGTTCCTACTTTTTGCGGAACTGCAGCTGCAGGATAGACCAGGCTTCTTCAACACATTCAGAGAAGCTTCTAGCCCCTTCCTGATGAATAACAGGTTAGGGGGTACCTGAATACTTTTAGAAAATGGGAATAAAATTTCAACAAAATAAAATATTGAATTATAAAAAGTGTTACTTCGTGCTGATGTGGACTACAGAGGTCAGTTAAATTAGAATTTTCTTTTTCTTTTTTTTTTTTCTTGTAACAGTAGCATTTTTAAGTTTCTTTCTTTCTTTCTTCCATGAACAAAAGAGGTACAGAAAGAGAGAGGATCTAGATGCCCCATTCCACCCTCCCAGTCTCAGCCAGCCCCGAATCACATGCACTAGTACACCTAGAGAACTCAGGGTAGTCTCTGGACACAAACTTGGAACCTTTCCATATGAGCCAACCATACAGAGTGTCACATTTCAGCCTTTATTCGGTAACTATAATTTATAAAATGTTTTAGATTGTTTCATAGGTAAATGTTTTCAAGTCTTATTCCTAGACAATTTACCATAGTTTTCCACTCTTGAAATCTTTATTTTAGTTCTCAGAAATTTAACTTCAAATTAAGACCTCAGCTAACAATATTTACTCTTGCTGCATTATACCAAAAAACCGTTTTCTACAATATTTTCCCTTTAAAGTTTTCACTGTAACTTGTGACTTTTTCTTGACTGTTCTCAAGGCCTAGAAATGTTCTCAAGGCCTAGAAAAATTGAACTATTTAACCCAGTGTCACATAGCTAGTGTGCAAAGTCCGGATGCAAATGCAGGTCTAACTGTAGAGCTCACTCTGTCACTCTCTTTCTATTGTCCACTGCCATAGGGTTTTCAATAAAGGAGGCCAGTCGAGGAAATGTGGAGAAGTTTGGAAAAGGGATCCAAATTTGTAGAAATTTTTTGGAAGAGCATTTCAGAGAAAATACATCAAAAAGATAGAAAAACTGATCATGGTACTGGGGTGCCATGAACTATCGGAGTGTTCTTTCTCTGTGAGAAGCAGCTATGTGAAAATACCTGACAGCTGCCTGTCCTGTCTACCTGATTGCAACACATGCCTCTAGGGAGCAGCATGGCCTTGATGTTCATCATTTTTATATTATAATTGTTCATAGTTAATAAAAATTTTAATACTCAAATAGGGTTGGTGTTCTGCTACAGGGCTCATTTCATTCCAGACTCTATTCATTAATACATTACAATACTTTAAAAAATTTAAGGACTTTTGATTGGTTGTGTTTGTAGTATGTCTTTAAACATAGTTTTATTTTGGCAATAATTTTTTTTTGTAAGGGTGGATATGATGTGATATTTTTGTTTTCTGTAGAAAACTATTAATATGTATGACATCAATTAAAAAAGTATGTTTGCAAGAAGGAAAAAGTAAATGGCTTCAGAGAAGAGGTAAAAATCATTTTGAGTAATTTAATATGAATAGAATTTAGACTAAGGGGACCAGCAGTTGGTATAATGGCTATGTCACTGGACTCCCATGTAGTCGACCACACGACCATAGTTTGAGTGAAGGATCCAGTGGCTTAAACTCATGCTGGGTGTGTGTGTGTGCCCAAGATCCTGAGAGGAGAATGGAGGAGAAGGGATTGCAGTGTGGTCATCTCCCCTGGGGAGTGATTTCTCGCTTTCTGTGTCTCTGTCTCTCTCTTTCTGGCGAGCACACACATCCTATAGCAAAACTCTCTCAAGAAAAAAAAATCATTTAGACTAAGAATGAGCAAATTATCTTAGGAACTTAATGATACATACTTTGGGGAAATCAATCTCTTATGAAAACTCAAATCATCCAATGCAACATTCCTTTATTTTTTGGGAGATAAGGCGATTCTTTTGAGCGAGTCATTGAAGGCTTGTTTGACTTGCTTGTTCCTCAGTGTGTAAATGAAGGGATTGAGCATAGGAGCAATGGAAGTAGTGAGCACGATCACACCCTTGTTAATATCCACTGATTCCTTTGCTGAAGGTTTGATGTAGATAAAGATACAACTTCCATAGGTGATGGAAACCACAATCATGTGGGAAGAACAAGTAGAAAAGGCTTTTTTCCTTTGCTGGGCAGAAGGGAATTTTATAATAGTCTTGATGATATATATGTAGGAGAGAGCGACACAAAAAAGGGTTGTGATGAAGGTCAACACAGCACAGGCTATTACCATCTGCTCAATGACCCACGTGTCTGAGCATGAAATTTTCAGGAAGGGAGACACATCGCAAAGAAAGCTGTCAATGACATTAGACTCACAGAACTCCAGATTTTGGCTCAGGCTAAATGGTGGGAGTATGATTAATAAGCCAGCCATCCAACAGCAAAGGGTGAGTCTTCTGCAGGCTCTGCTGCTCATGATGGTCGTGTAATGCAGGGGTTTGCAGATGGCCACGTAGCGGTCATAGGACATGGTGGCCAAGAGGAAAAATTCAGTTACTCCAAAAAGGTCAGTAAAAAAGGCTTGAATGGCACAAGCACAGTAGGTAATGGTCTTGTCACCCGTTGATAGGTTATACAAGTATCTGGGAATACAAGCTGATGTGAATAAGATTTCTAAGAAAGAAAAATTTTGTAGGAAAAAGTACATTGGTGTCTTAAGGTGAGAATCCATTATTGTAAGTGAGATGATAGCCAAGTTCCCAGTTAAGCTCAATAAATAGGTAAAAAAGAGAAAGATTAACAGCAGACTCTGAAGTTGTGGATCATCTGTTAGTCCCAGGAGAATGAAGGTTGTTATTGTATGGTTTCTCATAACTCACTGTTTGTCTAGGTTTCATAAAGAAAAATTTTATTAGAATATAAGGTTGTCAGAGTTCAGTAGCGATAACTAATGAGAAATAAACTCAAGAAAGTCCATATGAAATTTATTCTTTAATTTAGTAATTAATATTATCAATAGACTCATGGACTTAGCTTGTAAGTTTCTTTTACTTGGTATTAATTAATTTATTTATTTTAGAGAGATTTTTGCTATAGGGCATGTGTGCTCACTGGAGAAACAGAGAAAGACAGAGAGAGAGACAGAAAGCAAGAAACCATCCCCCCGGGGGAATGGCCACATGGCAATCTCTTCTCCTTCATTTTTCTCTTGGGATTTTGGGTTTTGCGTACACATGCACATGCACCTGGCAATTTTTTTTTTCAGAGAGTTTATTACAGGGCATGTGCTTGCCAGAGCGACAGGGAGACAGAAAGTGGAAAATCACACCCTGGGGAGATGGCTATGTCACAATCCCTTCTCCTCCATTCTCCTCTTGAGATCCGGGCATGCACTCACACATGCCCAGCGTGAGTTTCAAGCTGCTGGGTTCAGGGCTCAAACTGTGGTCAACTATGTGCAAGTCCACAGTTGCAACAATGATGCCATCTGCTGATCCACTGGTGTGAATTTTAAGCCACTGGGTCTGGTACTTTTACCCAGTTGACTGTGTGAGAGTCTGGCGATGTAACCATTAGGCAATCTGCCAGTCCCTTTTACTTGTTATTTTAAAAGACATATATGTTATAGATCAATTTAACTGTGCCACATACCAGTAACTTACAAATTCTACATCTCCACTGAGGTTTAAAAATTTTAAAAAATTTTATAATGGATTGTGATGTCATCAGTATTAAGAGTTTCTTTTATTCCTATACATTTTTCTCTATTTTGAAGGTGTACTTATTTATTTATTTTTTTACATGTTTTTGCCTTATGGCACATGTGCTAGCTGGAGAGAGAGATGAACAGAGACAGAAGGAAAGTGAGAAATCACATCCCCCTCTTTTGCCCCCCCCACCCGAGGGGATGGCAATCCCTTCTCCTCCATTCTCCTCCAAAGATCTTAGGCATGCACACACACATCCCAGTGTGATCTTTAAACCACCAGGTCCGGGATGTGAACCTCAGTGGGCCATGTGGGAGTCCAGCAACATAACTGCTAAGCCATCTGCTGGCCCCTTGAAATTGAATTTTTAAAGTGCACTAACAGTTTCAAATCTTTGCTTATAATTGGGTACTTGATAAAAATCAATTACATAGCAAATAACTTGGACTTGCTACAGAAGCTCTACCAAATTCATCATCAGTTATATTTATGTTCTCTGTAACGAAATTGTATTTTTGTCATTTTGAATGTAAAGTGTGTATAGGCTTTGAGTGTACGTGTGTCAGGTCCTGTGATTTCAGAAAGACCACATATGTGTTCATTTGTCTATCTGTGTATCCAGCAGTGATCTCTTTTCTGAGATTCAGCAATACATAGTCACACATATCTCACATGGAACACATGCAAAGTGGAGTTCATGGGTTCTATATTCCTATCTTCTTCCTATCCATTCCCTACAGTAAAAGTAATTGATTACTATAATCTAACTCTTGTGATGTGTCAGGTGCTGCGTAATTGCATTACAGGAAGCACAAGCCTGGAGCAATCTCCCCTCCACTCATCCCCCCACCCCCCATTGCATCTTTCTTTAATAGTTCTTCCATTCAACTTGAGGGTGTCAATTTCTCTTTGATTTTAAGCCTAAGCCTAAGCATTATTTATTTGGGAAGTCATTTGAAACTTGGTGGCTATGGTGGAGCCCCCCAACTCCTCTTCATGCATCATTATGAAATAATATTTCTATGGTACTAACCCTAGCAACATCAGTCTATCGAGAGCCAAAAATCTCTCTCTCTCTCTGTTTTTGAATCACAAAAAAAAACCCAAAACAAAAAAACCACCCCCACCCCAAAAAAAACAAAACTAGCAACCCAGTGTGTTGTACTTATCTTGTCAATATAAGTCTGTTATGGTCAGAAACATTCTCTCTCTCTGTTTTACTTGGATAACCAGTAAAATTAGCAAATTCAGGTACAAGGTCAATGACTAATAAATGATTATTAGTTGTATGCCAACATCATTATTTTTCTCTAGACACATAGAAAGATATCTCTTTTCCTCTTTGAACTTCTTGATAGTGCTGAGTTTACTTTTTTTTTTTTTAAACAAATTCATGCCCATGGATCTCATATTCTCTGCTAATATCTATTACCAAAGAGATAACTGGCTTCTGTTCCTGCTTTTGTCTGCAGCGTAAAGGGATAGTTAAATATCCATTTTGCTTCCTTGAGATAGATGCCATTAGGATAATAAAATAATAGGCACAGCTAAGCAGGCATAGGTAGAAGGGCATTGTTGCATGATACTGGAGCCATACTGGAGTCCATGAATGTGGATTCAGTGTCAATCTGAACACTCAGGGCCCAGTGCACCTGTGATCCTTTCTGGCTGTTAAGACTGAAGGATGGGGGAAAGATAGCTGTGTGGCAAGATCTTGACAAGGGTCTCTCTCTCTCTCTTTCTCTTTCTCTCTCCTATTAGAGAAAGAAGTAAATAATTAAAAAAATTTCAACTTCATAATACTGAGTTGGGGCAATGACTCTTTTATGTATTTATTTTCCTTCAGTTATCACTAATTAATTACAATGCCATTAATTAAATAATTAATTAATCAGTGTCTCTAGAAGTGCTATTTTTCCTACATCAATGATGAAATGGTTTCTCTGGGAGACTAAAATTAAATAGGCAAAAGAATGAATGCATCAATTAAAATATTCCCTTCTTACCAGGATGGGTCCAGTATCAACTCTAATGACGTGTTAAGTTCTCACGTTTAATGTCATTATCTCAGAAAAGTGTCATTAATTAGGATTTTGGTTTTCTTGAGAGCTGGAACCTTGAAAGATAATAGGATTACACAGGAAACAGTCTCAATGAATCACATTAGTGGTAGTAACAATCCGCCACAGGAAATCATCAACCTCCTTATTTTTTTAAAAAATTGTATATAGTTTTTAATTAGCATGTAATAGTTGTACATATTTATGAGATAGTGTGATTTTTCAATACATGTATACAATGCTTGATAATCAAATCAGGACAGCAAACATTTCTCTCATCTCTAACATTTGTCATTATTTTCTGCTGTGAAAATTAGAAATCTTTCAAGGTATTTTGTACATTAAATTATTAAATATAGTCACTCTACTGTGCTTTAGTATTCTAGAATTCATTCATCTTGTCTTTTTTTTTTAAGTTTATTCATTAGTTTCTTCTGAGAGAGAGAGAGAAAGAGAGATGGACAGACAGAAAAGCACCTGTAACAGGATCCTAGTGTCATGGTCCACACCCAGCGTCAGCCAGCCTGCATGAAGTGAGCATTCTCCTGGTATGTTCAGGGAAGTCCTAGGACACAAACCCATGACCTTTTTCATGTGGATCCAGTTGCATTAGTCACCATCTGGCCCCTTATTCCTCTTATCTAGTTGAGTTTTTTTTTTTGGAAAGGTTTTGCTCTTGGGCGTATGCACTCTCTAGAAAGATAGAAACAGAGAGACAGAAAGCGAGAAATCACCCCTCAGGGGGGTGGCCATGCCGCAATCGCTTCTCCTCCATTCTCCTCTCAGGATCTTGGACATGCACGCACACGTGCCTGGTGTGAGTTTAAGCCACCGGGTCTGGGACTTGTACCGCCATTGACTACATGTGAGTCCAGCTATACAGCCATTATGCTAACTGCTGGTCCCTCTAGTTGCACTTTTAAATCTATTAACCAAGTTCTTCTTATTTTCTTCTCTCTATACCAACCCCTTCCCAGATTTTTATATCCACTATTCCTCACTACTTTTATGATCAAAGCTCTGAGCTCCCACCAATTAGCAAGAACCTATGATATTTATCTTTTATTGTTTGGATTATTTTACTTACCTCCTTTGAATCCCTGCTCTTCAGCTCACAGGTACCATATACTTCACTATGGTGTTAAACTCTGCCCCTATACACTCTGGAAAATATTAGGATCTTCAGGAATATTTTACTCAAGTTATAAATATTATTATTCTAAGAGAAAACTGTCTTTCCTATGTTATAAGTATCACATTTTGGCAAAATATTGACATTGATGTGTGACTGATATCCCTTTATTCTAGTTTTCAAATATTTTGAATTTGCAAGTTCTGTAGGGATCTTTAATAAAACGATGTCATCTAGAGTACTTCTTAGCTTGACTGTGTAACATATAATGCTAATGTATGAGAAATTATGATCTTTTTGATGATCCCTCTTAATTACTTCTATGAATAGTTGTAATGTATCCAATGGTAGTGCTCGTGCTTTTAAAATTAACCATAGTGCCTGTTTACCATACAATCATAAAAAAATGTTAAGGATACAAAATTAAAAATGAATGCATAGTTGAGAATTGTATGTGAACCTGAGGTAAATCTTGCTAAGCATATTCATATCCAGCCCTGGAAATGCATGGAATTTTCTATTAGCAGTATAGTGGAAGGTATCCCCTTAATGGATTTTCTATAACGATAAATCTAGGCAGTATTTAGTAACCACAGTAAGCTATATAACCTCAGATACGTGTTATTTTATAGTATATTCATTCTACCCACAGAGTTTTATTCCTAAAGTCAACTTTTGTTCACAGATTTGTATATATCAGCTGAACTTACTATTGAAAGTATTTAGGTTAAATAAGATATTTTGTGAATCAATACAATGTGGGAAAGAATAAAGCAATGAAAAGCAACTGCAGATTCCAGAGACAGAGTGGGAAGAGGATGGGAAATGGGAAATGGCAGAGGGTGAGAAATAGAGGGAAATGTATATGTATATATACAAGAAATAAGAAATGGAAAATTATTTGTAGATGATATCACGTATGATTAAGCCACATTACAGTGTATTCTGGCTGGAAAATTGCATTTTGTATGCT